CCCACCCCCAATGCAAGAAGAAAAAAAAGCACTATGTTAAAGCCTAATTCTTTATTAATTTGAATCCAAGACGGACTAAGACTTGATATACATTAAGGGAGGTAAACATTCTGTCTCAATCATTTGTGCCTAAAATTTTCAAAGTACTGTCCCGTTGATTTTTCACGCATGCGTGAAGCTCCCGTTGTTTCTTATCTTCACTGAAATCTAGATCTAGCCTAAAAACTTTTCGCAAGTTTTGGCATTGTAATTGATTGTTTCAGCTGTGAGGTTCTGTTTGCTTACTGTTTTGAGACTATTTCACGTAAGTTTTTTCATGGAAACAATTCCAACTATCATGCTGTATGTAATGATTGTAGGATGTATCACTGTTCTTGCAGTTTGTGTTTTTTTGGCCCTGACTTCATGTTGGTCAACTGTAGACTGTACTGTTCTGTTGGCTACTGTTTTCAGTTTGATACACCTGCGCTTCAGGCAAACACGTTCCTTTGCCTTTACACAGTTGAAATTACAATAGACTAGACGGTTGGTTGTGTTTATGGCAGGAAGGGGCATACATTGTAAACATTTAGAGAACTATAGGTCTAGAATCTAGATCCAGTATAGATTCTTCTAGTTTCATGGGCTGGACTGATCTATGTGTGTAGTCATGTGGTGTAAGGGTTTTTGTTTTTGTTTTCTCCCAATTGACCACCTGTACTGATCATGTCTGATGTGAGGCTGATGATGAATCTGTAGCTTGTACTTGTACATACACTGTCTGTAGTGTAGCTCTGCTACTATACTATAGTCATAGTGGAAGATTGATGGTATGATCATGAACGATGATGGTATGACAGTGCTTGGAAATGCGCGGGATGCTGCCTGTCAAGTTGGGTAAGACCAAACTTTGACGAGAACCCAACAAAAGGAAATGCTACTCACTCTAGATCTAGAATCTAGTCATTAGGGGGGTGTCAGGGGGTCACCCCCTGACGAACGAGTACGTAATAGCTGGCCCCTCCCTCCCCTCCGAAATGATGTGCCGTAACATCTAAAATCTAAACTAACCATTTGCGAAGTTTTTTAAAGGCCGGCTCTATTTTTCAGAACGCTCGGGAAAATAAGCTTGAACTCTATTTTTCAGAACGATTTCCGTTCTCGAGATTTGTTGATAATAATTGTGAATGGAGTGGCCGGTGTGTGTGTTTGCGTGTGTGCTTGTGTGTATGTGAGTGCGTGTGTGTGTGTGTGTGTGTGTAAGGTCTGAACGGGGGCGTGAAGGGATTTTTTGTTTTGTTTACATGAATGATTTTAGTTTTTGCTGGGTGACTAAGTGCAAAATAGGTTACTGCCAAGGTCAATCAGTCTTGTTTTCTCGCAGTACCTTTTGAAGGCATTTTCAAATGAAGTATAGTCCGGGAACATTGCCCCAACTACAACTGAAGTATCTGAATATTCAGACATTTTAATAAATCTCTAGCTCTAGAAATTGAATTCGATGCAAAAAATGCTTCTTCCCAGTCCTCGCAGAATGGCAAAATGAAAGATGACGCCTAAGTCTCACAAATAACTAAAAAATCTCGGTATGGAAACCGTTCGCAGAAATAGAGTTCTTTCAAGTTTATTTTCCAGAACGTTTGGAGAAATAGTCACTTCGTTGTTTAAATACCAAAATCGTGTTCAGGGCCCTAAAATAAAGCCTAAAAGAGCTTCGAAATAAATCCCTTTATGAGACAGGAGTGTTTCAATAAATTTACCGAAAATACCTATGGCATGGCATATAATATAATTTGTAATTATCACTATCAGTAGATATCTATCGGTGGTCTTAAAAAAGAACATCCCAACAACAGTATGGATAGTATAAACTTCATTGACTTTCTTCCGAAAGTTACCTCTCTGACAGTTATTGGTTATTCGGGTTGTCCATTTGTAATTTTCATTTTAATCCTTGAGAAAATGCGTGTAGAATCTAATAAAAGCTTTAATGATAATAATATTTTGTCAAATACGATGTACTTTTGAGTTGCTCCTGCACTCTCTTTCCGTTTAACAATAAAAAGAACTCCCTCATACTCATTTCAACTGTAGCACAACACAGACTTTCTTTGACTGTAGGCTCTTGTTCATATTTGTTTGATGTTTTTCAGGTCGGCAATAAAGATGTCCTGTGTTCTTTATCTGTGCGCCTTTGTGGCGTGTACATACGGTGTGTATGGTTACTCGTCTTCTTTCTACACGGACAATGACCTCGGGCAGTCGGTGCCGATGGGGAAGGTGAAGAACAGACAGAGAGATGAAGTACAACAGGTGAGGCATGAGGAGACACTGGGACCACAACTGTCTCTGGTACAAACACTGTGGGCGCTTTGTAATAACCTCTGACAAATTTTCAGATATATATATATATGACCATGAATTTTAAAATTATTATTACACAGTAAACTGCTTATAAGAAAATGAATTGTCTATGTATTATAGTATTTTAAATTTAATATTTGAAAGGAGATATAGAGGAGTAAGAAAATGATTGTGCTGTGAAAATGATAATTTTCTGTATCTCCTTGATATCTTTTCAACCAAAAACTTCTGCAATGGTGCATCTTCTGAGGCTGCCTAAGGGTTCACTACAGAGTTAATGCCTACATTTAGTGTATTTTTATAATCAAGCACCAGTTTTTGAGTGGTTTATTAGATACTGTATGGTTAGTCGTATTTTTACTCTTCATTGTTATTGTCTTGTTGCAACGGACTTAATTCTATTAACCAGGGGTGTTAGGCTTCTTTGGAAATTAGATAGTAAAGGCCCTTTTAAACTTAAAGGGTATGTTGCCCCATTCTCGGCTTTCTTTTCTGCTCTTCGATCACATCACACTTGAAGTCCAGTATCTATCATATACTGGGCCGTTCCGCTCAGTTCTTCTGTCGGTCCGTACAGCTTCTCCTCTTGTGTTTAATAATAGGGTCGGCCACGTTTCCTATTCTATCTGAAGGTGTGTGTGTGTGTGTGTGTGTTTCCTGTCTCAGGGTTCTGTATGTCCTGCAGTGTGGAAGGATGTGTTCCACAGTTTGGTCCGCTTCTCCATACTGACATTTTGGTGATTGTTATACAATTTGAAAATATCTGTAACTATGACTATGATGTTTTGAGTCTTGTGTGTTGTGTTCTTTGTGGGAAGATAGTCACTTGTTCTTGGCCGGACAACTCATGATAGTTATTTGATGTCTGGTTGTCTTACTATCAGTGAAAAAAATACCCATCTATCTTGAATAGAAGTCAAGATATTTGAGACTGAAAACTGTGGGGGTCGCCCGGTTTCAAAGGTAGAATTAACGAGAAAATGGCCGTCAAAGTTTGGTTATTTCCATAGCTTGCTAGTCAATGAAAACTGAAAACTTCTATTTTTTGTACCTTTAATCAATTAAAAAAACAACTAAAATCCACCCAGAAATGTGTTCTTAATTGGGCAACAATGATGTTTAGCCAAAAAAACAAAAATCCGATAAAAATTGCCATCAAATTCCCATAACATGTTGATGTCTGTGGTGCATGCTGGTGTTGTTGTTCAGGAGCTCCTGGAGCTGATGGGCCTGTACAGCAAGCCCAAGTCCAAGTCCAACGAGAAGATCATCCAGTCGGCGTCCAAGTTCATGCGGGACCTGTATGAGAGCCTGCGCGAGCTGGACCAGGCCGACCAGGACGGGGGAGACGACTCCCACATCCACATCAGCAGCTCTGTCAACGCTTCGGCGCTCGGCCTTGACCCGGCTAAAGTGGAGGGCTCAGATGTCATCGTTAGCTTTGTCAATCACGGTGAGGGGTTAGAGAGTTTTGTCAATCACGGTGAGGGGTTAGAGAGTTTTGTCAATCATGGTGTGGGGTTAGAGAGTTTTGTCGATTGTGGTGAGGGGTTAGAGAGTTTTATCAATCACGGTGAGGGTTAGAGAGTTTTGTCAATCATAGTGAGGGGTTACGGGGTTTTGTCAATCATAGTGAGGGATGGTGAGACTTAACATCTGTAAATGAAGGGTTTGATTACTCTGGGGACTTCTGTTCAATCAAATCCAGTAATGCCTTGGTATAATGTACTCCCTTCGGACTCGAGATTTTGCACATCTTAGTCAAGCTGTCCATTGGCCAAAAACAGTAAAAAACTGTATGAATGGGGCTTACGGCTTCAGGAAGTGAAAGTAACTACCGATACCATGCTCAAAGCCGTGTACTTTACACTGGGGTTTTACTGTACATTTATTTTGAGGCATCAGGCATACATACAAGGCAACTTATATGACGTTTGTTGAAAATTTCATGCCCTAACAATTGATTTGCTTTTATTTCACAGCCAGGAAAATGGCTCACCTTCGCCACGAGAGGGACCGCACATTTTTCTTTGACTTCAGCGAGGTCTCCGTCGGGGAGCAGGTGAAGGGGGCAGAACTGCGCATCTACAAGGAGGCTTCGTCCAAGTTTGCCTCCAGCTCCTTCACCATCAGCCTATACCGCATCAAGCAGGGGCAGGACTGGGAGTAAGTCTCTTATACCGAGTGCACACCGCCAGTCGAATTCATATTGTTTCGATTGAGTCAGGATCAGCCAGATTTTTCTCCTTGAATGGACAAAAGCTACCATTTTGACATAATTTGACGGAATTCGACTAAATTCGAACGTGACCTTAAATTGTACCAAATGCAATTTCCCTCTAAACACATAAAAAATTGTCCAACTTTTTGGTGGTATTTTCTCGTATGACAATCCTCCACATTTTGCACCTAACAGCTCCGGTTACTTTTTTATTTATCGGTGGATTTTTTTAGTTTAAAAAAAAACCCCACAGTGCTCAGAATTTACTGCTCTTTCTCTTAATCTTACTTTAAAACTTACAGTACAGAAGGCTCATACAGGAAAAACCCTCAAGTTGTTTTTTAGAACGCAGAAGCCATGGTAGAATTTTTTTTTATTGTTAAAAACCTTCGTCAGCCCAAGAAACAGGCTTTATAAATTAAGGTTCCTTAACCATTCAGCTGTTTTATAGAGTGACTTCCTTTGGTTTTTGCTTCAGTGCAGTGAGTCCGTTTGTTGTTTAAATGTGTGTCGTGTGCCTGTGCTGACTGATTGGCAGGGTTGGAAACCTGTCTCCTAAATAACCGAAATTGTGTTGATGGAGGTAAGAAAACGCCTACATTTTAAAAAAATTTGATTTTCTCCCAGAGACAAGATCCTGGAGCTGGAGTCCAACCTGCGGGTGTCGGGTGAGCAGACGGGCTGGGTGACCTTGGACGCTACCGACGTGGCCGAGTACTGGACGTTCTTCCCCCTCAGCAACATGGGCCTCTATCTCAAGGTCACAGACGAGAATGGTCAGTGTTTTTTTTATCTTCCTTTTCTCCACTGTTGCCCAGCTTTTCATATCAGTGCAATTTTTTTCTACTCCACCAAGGAAATCTCAAATGGGTTGTCAAACTTTCAAGGGTTGATAATGATGAGAATGATAACAATCACAATAAATTACGTTTATATAGTACATTTCCATTTAGAGACTACTCGATACTTCTTTTTTTTTTACAGTAGTAGTAAAAGAACATTGTTACACTAGTGAACTTTTCATTCCCTCTTTCTTTCTTTCTTTCTCTCTCTCTCTCTTTAAAAAAGAAATCTAATTTTCCTTATCTCTTCGTCTTCTTTTTCTGTGTATGTTACTCTCTAGTAACACCTAATCTTTAGCAGGTGTATGATCTATTCGTGTTGCAGGTGCCGTAAAACTCCTCTTACTGAACCTAAAACACTTTCGTCCCTCCCGCAGGTGAAGAGTTTGAGCCCAAAGAGATTGGGCTGGTGGGTCGTCGCGGACCGGCGGACAAGCAGCCGTTCCTGGTGGGCTACATGGACATGTCGCCGGAGGTGCTGTCTCGCCGGGCGCGCTCCATCCGCAGCAAGCGCTGGGCTGACCCACAGGACCGGTCCTACTCTGACAACCCCTACGCCGAGTACTCCAGGACGGGTGGGTGCTGGGGGCGGTGCTATTGACTGAAGTGTCTTTAGGCCATTTCCAAAGGGGGGATATTAACATGTTCTTATGCACAGTAGAATTGTAAATGGGCTAATTCATCAATGTCACGCTCATAACTGTGCCTGAACTGCTACAGGGAAGTGCTGCTTTTTCTTTCCTAATCCTTGCTATTGACGTTTTTCCTCTTCTTTTGTTTGTCACACTCTTGTGACCCGCTATTTCCGGGGTGCCTTGATAGCCGAAGCTGACTTTGTGCTGTTGAAGCTGGTTGGTATCCACCCCTTGGCGCTCATATGACATTATGCAGTTGCGAGCGCCGTAAAATCTCTACTAAAACTAAACTGAAAGAACTGGTCGGTGCTGGGGGAGTCAGAGATGGAACCCACTGTTGATGCTAGGGCGAGTTGTTTTATCAGGGATGCTGCCCCCACTTAAGTTGGACATAACACAGGACTAAGGAGCGGATGGCTGTGGTTTGAAGCCCGGACTGGGTGTTCTTGAACTCGAGTTGTTTTGTGAGGTTTTTAAGACTCAACCCATTTGGCTCGTTGTTATCGGAGACATGACGATTAATTTGGAAACCCTGCATCTTTAATAGGATTAAATGATAATGTTGATAGGGTGTGTTACACGCATACACTTACACTGTTTTCTCACTGCCTGCAGGCTTCACGAGGTACCGCGCCCACAACAACTGCCAGAGACACAACCTGTACATCAACTTCAGGGACATTGGCTTTGACAGCGAGGTGAGCAAGTTCCTTTTAGTTTTTGTAAGAGTTTTAAGGCATTTGCAGCAGCTATAGGTTGTACAAGTGCTGAAGAATAGAGGTTGTTACTTGAGAGAAATGTAGAAAGAAAAGAAGTAGAGGTAAGGAGCTTACATAATCCAACCGTTCCTCCTCTTCAGTTCCTGATCGCCCCTGAGGGCTACTCGCTTACAAACACACACACACAAAAACAAACACATACACACACACACACAAAAACAAACACACACACACAAAAACAAACACACACACACACACAAGCGCCACTGCTGCCCAAGCCCTGCTGCGCACCCACCAAGTTCGGCACCATCACCCTGCTCTACTACGACGACAACTCCAGCGTGGTGCTCAAGAGGTTCCGCGAGATGATCGTCAAGGCCTGCGGCTGTCACTGATGGACATTTGTGGCCAGCCATGGGGGGGGGGGGGGGGGGTAGATGGAGAATTGTGTCCATAGAGGGTAGAGGGTGGAGAATTGTGTTGATAGGAGGTGGAGAATTTTGTCCACTTATGGGTGGAAGATTGTTTCGACAGGGGTAGAGAATTGTGGTAATAGGGGATGGAAGCCTGTGTCAACACAGACTGGCGAATTTTGTGAATAGGGAATGGTGGAGCGTAAAAAAAAGCTACATTTTTAAAGAAAATGAAATTTTAAATGATGGAAAATTTTGTCGATGGGGACGTAAAAACAACTACTGTCGCACCTGTCTAAGATGGCCGCCCGTTGTGGAGGAGAAAAGTGGCCATGTTTGACAGGTGGCCGTCTTGCACAGTGTCGTTGTAGTGTTGAACTATACGCAAGGGAAGAAATGGGACATGGCCGTTTGTGCAGGTGATTGTCTTCTACAGGTGGCCATTTGTGCAGGTGATTGTCTTATACAGGTGGCCATTTGTGCAGGTGATTGTCTTCTACAGGTGGCCATTTGTGCAGGTGATTGTCTTATACAGGTGGCCTTTTGTGCAGGTGATTGTCTTCTACAGGTGGCCTTTTGTGCAGGTGATTGTCTTCTACAGGTGGCCTTTTGTACAGGTGATTGTCTTATACAGGTGGCCATTTGTACTGGTGATTGTCTTATACAGGTGGCCTTTAGAGTAGGTTTGACTGTACCTTGAAAAGATTTTTTGTATCCAATTGGAGGAGGACGATCCTTTTTTTTTTCTCTCTGCTTTTAAAGTGACGATTTATTTTCATGTGTAGTAGAGGTCTATGGATCGCCTAATCGCTAAATGAGCTGTGAAGCGGCTGTTACTTTTTAAAAATTACATGAAAGTGGTGGGATGAGATGAAGATAGGAAGAAGAGAGCTGACAAGTTAAGGGGTCATGTTTACTCAATATCTGTTGTTGTGACATGCTGGAATCAGGCGCTCGTCACTATTTGGCCGTATGAAGATATTGTTACCATCTCAGAGCTTGTTTTTTTTGTTTGGCTTTTGATGAAAAGTTAATATATTTGTAATTGAATGATGGGGTCGTTTGGTGTGAAAGAAAGATAGAATTATCGAGCAAATGGCCGCCAAAAGTTGGTAACTTCCAAAGCTTGAATGTCCTTGGAAGCTGCAAATTGACATTTATAGTGCCTTTGATCAACAGTTCAACTACTTGAGGAAAATTCACACAGAAATGTATTTTTAACTGGATGTAAAAGGTGTCGAGCCAAAAGGGAAAAAAAAAGTCAATAAAAATCGCCCAACAGATGGAAAAGTGCTAGTTTATGTGACTTCATTATTTTGACAAGCGTCTATTTCACCAACACATTATAGACGTACGAGACTTTGTCTGATGTGTGAGCCAGAATGTGACAGTAGTGATGGCAGTAGTGGGGTGAGCGGGCTCAGATAGCCTGAGACAATGGAACGGAGCTCAAATACAAAATGTGAGAACTTAATCTCTCAGATTGAACATTAACAGTATTTGAACTTGGATTGGTTTGTTTTTTGTTGGGTTTTTTTTTTGGGGGGGGGGGGGGGTCGCGGGGATTGTAGATGTTGTCAGATGTAACAACAACTGCAATAGAGCGTTTTGGGGAGGTTTTTTTTTTTTTTCAGGGAATGTAGATATTGTGTGAGGCTCTACACTTTTTATTTGTTTTTGCCTCTATCATGTTGTGACTTTCAGTCTGCTGCGTCATTGTATAGTATGCTGTGCTGTTGTTTTCCAGCTTATTGTTCCTCTACTTTGTTGTCAGCTGTGCTACCCCTGACAATGAAGCTCTAGTTCGGGTCATCTCCCCACCTTGGACAAGAATTCATTGTTGGGGAATCCATTCTGGGGTTTTTGGAATCTCAAGATCATGTCCTATATTTATGAATAAATGTGAATTTTGTTATGGCCTGGAAGGGGTGTGGAGCGTATTTGTTGTTTACCAAAGAATAATGTTGTAATTAATGATTTAGAATAAGATAGTTAAGAAATTAAACATGTATTGATATGGTTTGTAGGTGGGGAGAGGGGGTTCTTAATTATTGGGTGAGATCACCAAAAGTTGAGAACTACACATTGATGTGGTCGGTGGTGGTTCAGTGAGGGTCCTGCCAGACTCCGGTGCAGGTGATCCTGGGTGAAATCCTCGGTGGTATTTATTCATTTCCTGAAGTTGTATTGGTTTTTTTTTGGGGGGTCACAGCTCGTCACCCGCTTTGCTAAGTCGTATCGAAGGTGGTGTTGATTCAAGAGGCCTCATCTTTTGAAAAGCTGGACTGTATATTGTTAAACACATATCATGCTGTTAATGAAGGAGAAAATTGTTTCTTTGTCTAGTTTGACTCTGTGGTTCCTTGGTGGGTGTGAGTACTGTGAGGTGGAGGGAAAAGAACGACAGTATTAGTAGTGAAGCTCTGCGGTAGTTTTTGCAACATTTACTTTCCCTCTGTTGTTTCTGTCTGTCTGAATGTTTTACTTTTTCTCAGCATTAAATGACCATTATTTTGTTGATGTGCTCTTTTTTTTTTTACTCAAAGTCAAACAAAACCCACAAATAATTGTGGATGTCGCCGTAAGGCAAGAGTGGTTGGTACGCTAAAGTCTTGCGAAATGTTGTTGATGGTGCTGTAGCTTTATCCTGTGTCCTTGTCCTTGACTGTCAGTCTGCCGGAAGATGTTATAGATTTGATATACATATTTATATTATATACACACACATATCATGTGGTTTGTCAAAATGGTGTCTCTTGTGGTTGTTGAGGAGGGGAAGAAGACGGAAAACAACGGATAATTTTTTTATAGATAAGTTTGTCATTTTTGTTTTGTCCTGTCATCTCTGTTGAAGGGAAGTGGTGGCTAAGGAAGGACGGATATTGTTGAAGAAAATAAAGGCCATCATCTGAAAATCAGATTGAAAATTGTTTATACTTTTTAAAAAAATTTTTTCGTTTTGTAATCAGTTTGAAGCATTTATATGAGTGAAAGTTATACTGTTTATATTCATACCCTTTTAAAAAAAATTTTGGTTCCTGTGATTTGGGCATTCTGTAAGTTTCCTTCAAGCAGATAGTTTTTGGGTTGGGGTTTTTTTTCTTTCTTTTTTTTTTGTAGTAGAGACAAATTGCGCAGTTTGCCTTAACAACGTCTATTATCTCGACCGTGCCATTGAACAATTTAAAAAAGGACTTTCACATCCTTGGTTGATTGTCCCACGGCTATTTCATGATGGTTAAAATGTCAGGTAAAGATATCTCTGTCCATGGGAAATGTGTCCGCCGGCTTCTCAGTTTTGTTTTGTTTCAGCTCCCAAAACAGAACATCTTTTTGACCCGTTTACGTAGACACAAGGTGTATGAATGGTTTAGTCAATATTTTTTTATAAGCTCCCTAAAATATTTATGTTGAATATGTTTTGTTAAGCACCAGAAAAATCTTTTTTCCAGTTTGCTTAGGCACAAGGTGTATACATTTTTAAGTCAGCATTTTTTGTTAAGCTCACGGAAATATTTATGTTGAATATTTTTGGTTAAGTTCGCTAAACAGGATATGTCTTTTTTCAAATTTACTTAAGTGCAAGGTGTATAAATATTTTTGTGAATATTTTTTAAAAGTTTTCACAGGTTACTCCTTCTTTCTTACCAAATGTCTGTCATCCTCTCTCCTCCTTCTTTTTTGTGTTTGTCACTCTCTCGTAACACCTCTAATCTTTGGCACCTATATGACCTAATTATGTAGCAAGTGCTGTAAAACGCCTGCTGAAACAAAAAAATCAAACAGGTTGTGAAGGTGTGGACTCGTGTGATTGATACAAAAGTGAACGTTGTCAGAAACTGTTTCTGTACGTAGCCTTCGTCTTGTTCCACGTGAGACATATTGTAATTACGCTGACAATCTGTTTGCAATGTTTATCTTTTCGGAATTTGCAATCTTTTTTTTTCCCTTTGTGCTACCAGTCTACATATATTTCTATAAATATATACATATTTTGTATGAGCATTTACTACAGAGTGTTGGCAATGGCTTTAAATGTTTGTGTCCCCTGTCTCCACTATTGAATATAATATACCAACTGGTTTTTGCTTGAGTGGGGTGGTTGGGGAGGATTTATATGAATACTTATTATATAAATTTATATATATTATTATATGTATGTTATTATGCATATGTGACTGGGTTTTTCTTAAAACAAATTTTTTAAAATCCAAAGCAAACTTACTGTTTATGACTATATCAGGCTCTTGCTAATAGTTTATAGCTGCCAGCAACAACTTTCTAATAACATTTTAAAAAATTAGCTTTTCTGTGAGAAACGTGGAATCCTTTGGTTGTGATATTATTACTGAGTTGCCTCCATGCCTTATAATATCTCGGATAACTTCTTTTTTTTTTCTTCTTCAGCACTATCGCTCAGGTGGTTGGTGGGTGCCGGTGGTAGGTCCTACTGCTTTGTTCTCCTTCTCTGCTGTTATCAACAAGTTTTTCCACTTGTTTTGGTCCAGCCAGAGAGTTAAAAAAACTCTTACAAAATCAAAACAAAACAAAACAAAAATATGTGCTATTGATCAAGTGTTCACAGATGACGAATTCGCAATTTACATGCGTGTTTTAAAATCAAAATGGGATGTAATTTTTTAAAATGTCGTTATACACTATATTTAATTTTTCAGATAAAGTTTGTGTCCACATATATCTTTTGACGGAACGTGTACAGTGACATTGACGAGCTTTGTGTTTTGATGTCATTTATTGTAGTTGGTCGCTCTACAGTGCAAATACCTCAACAAATGCGAAACTTTTGTACATATCGGTGAAATTGTGAATGTATATATAAATGTATGATTATAGTTGTATTAATAAAGATATAGATTTACTAGTGTTGAAATGATTGTCCCTTTTCTTGCTTTTTGTGTGTGTTTTGATTTGTTATGTGTCACATCTTTGTGGGGAGTTGTCTGATACTATTGTAATGTCACTGTCCAGGGCCTCACACACATGCACACACACACACGTACATGCTCACACACACACACACCCGCCCCTCTCTTCTCCTCAGATATGGGTGGCCGTCTGGGACAATTCTGATTTTATCTCCATCTTTTGGCTGGAATGATGAAGGTGGTTTGAGGGTGTCACTCTTGGTAGATCCTACTTCTCTACTCTCTCTCTCTCTCTCTCTTCAGTTTCTGTCTGTCTTTCTTTGTTTCTTCCGTACACAAAATGAC